CAACCCAAACCAGTCTGGGATTCTAGGACACCTGCCCACCCCACAGCATGCCAGGACTTCATAAGAGGATGGGGAAGGTTGGGGAGCCACTGCCAGGAGCAAGCAGCTGCCTGCAGTGACTGCCTGAGAGCAGAGCAGGTGCTGAGCTGCGGCTCTGCTGGGTGCTGTCTCTGAGGAGAGCTGGTGTCCTGGCTGAGCTCTGTGGTAGATCCAAGCCCATGAACCATGTTCTTGGTCCTGCTGCCAGAGCTCTGGGAGTCTACAGCCACTCAAGCAACATGGCCTTCCCACCCACCCACGGGAAGCCCACAGACACGGGGGGTAATGGTGGGTCTCTGCCACAGCACTCACTCTTGGTCTGGAAGTGCAGGATGATGGCGGCGTGTACAGGAGAGACAGAGAGGGAGAGGGTGCGATCTGCCAGCTCCACATCCAAGCTCACCAGGCCCAGGTGGTACTTCCAGTTCAGAGTCCTCATGGCCTGGAAAAGGGGGAAGCAGCCATTCACAGCAGGTCTTCTAACAGGAACCACTCAGTGCTGCATTATGGTAAACACCCCTCTGCCACCAGGGCCAGTTGCACTCCGCACACCTCTGCCAGGTACAATAGCTGCTGCCCTCCTCAAGAGTCACCCAGCACTGCCACCACCCAACCATCTCCTGCCTCCTGATGGGAAACATCCTCCTGGGCACAAGGTGGTGTTCAGCCCTTGCCCAAGACCAGTGCCCATCTCCTGTCTGAAAGCCAAACACTCAGCTCTCTGGTAGCATAAGCAAGGGTTGAGGAAGCACTGGAAGACCAACCAGGCCACTCAGGACAAACTGCTACCAGAAAATAAATACTCATCTGGGGCAGGATTTCCTCAGAACAGAAGCAATCTCTTCTGATGGGAGATGTGAAAAGAGCACTGCTTGCTTTGAAGGCTGAGGATGCTTAAGGAAGCTGCTCCCTCCTTGTATCCTTCTCCTAATTTTTTGCAGGCACAGAAATCAGCTGGCATCCGCATCTGGCACACAGCTACAGCAGGAGAAGAGACAGGATCTAGAGCTATGAGCTTCCCAGCCTCGTGGTGGGTATCACCGGGTGTATCATAACCAGTTCAAGAAAGGATATAGAAAACAAAGCCTGAAATGGAGTCAGAGCACAAGTGGGCAGGTAAAGAGGAACATCTGCATGAGACACCAAACTGTGCTCAGGTTGGCTGCAAAGAACCATCCATGTGTGCACACAGACCCTACGCTGGCATGACAGATCTGAATCACCAGATGTGTGTCCTGCACTCCACCAGACAAGAAGCTGAAAGATGGAAAAGCCAAGACCACAGCTCTGGAAGTGACCTAGATCTCTCCTTGACTTCCAGATGTTCCTGCTTCCAAATCACTCTGTAGGTGCAGAGCAAGATGCACCTCAGCCTTCTCTACCTGACTAACTGCCATGATCAAGAGCCTGGAGAACAGAAGAATAACAGATGGTTGCTTTTATTTGCTTTGCACGCCTTGCTCCCACCTTTCCATGCTGTTTATAAAGCCATGGATTCAATCTTAGTCTGAGCCACGGTCAAACTGACCAAAGATGTTTGCACCTAAACTACCATGGAGTTCAGGAACCCTCCAGCAATGAATAAAACAACACAGGAGAGACCACAGACAGGAGAAGAAGCAACATTCACCCAGCTCCAGACTAAGAGTGAATCTTAAAATGAGACCACGTTAAAAGAGCTTCTTCTCAAGTGGACAAACAGGAGAGGAGGGTACCAGAGCATGGAGAGGCCCAACAGGGACAGGATGTCACTCTTACTACTACAGAACTTAGACCAACAAACTTAGACCAGATTTCAGATGTCTAAGAACTTCCACCTCAGTATCCATGTAATTAACAAACACTGGCATATTTTGGAACACTCTCCTCCCTAACTGCAATCACCACGATGACCCAGGCACCCCATGAAGAGACGAACCCTTCTCTTGGCAGTAGCTAAGCTAAGGCAGCTTCTAACCCCAACTCAAAGCTGAAGGGCTTTGGGATTCCACCATAACAGCGTGGGTGTACCAGCAGCTAAAATTTAAGGGAGGTTAAAGAGGACTTAACAAAAACCATGCTATGTAACCAAGTCTGAACAGCATCCACCTTTTTTAAGGAGGGTTAAGGTTGCTTCACCTTTAATTTCTCATACTTCTTGGAATAGGCTTCCATGGCTTCTTTAACCTGCTCTGGAAGCTCTAGCTTCTCCTCTTTGAGCGGTGGCCAGAACTCACTCGACAGGATAACGGCAACGAGGCTGAATGGTGGCCTCTCCTCCTCTGGGAGCTTCTCTTCTTCATCACGAATGTTGGCGTTGATGCGCCGCGAGTCGGCCATATCCTGGAAAATACAGGAGATAAAATATAAAAAATATAAAATAAAATAAAATAATAAGGCAGCTCCATCTCCTCCAAGTCAGCGCTCACCTTTAGCAAAGGAGAAACTTAAACAAGGTGACTAGAGCTGTCTCCAAACAATGATGGAAAAAACATGATCAGGTGTGTCTGCTACTGAGTCTGCTACATCCATTTGTGGGGAGGTTGAGGAAGGGTTTACAACTCAATGCTAGCCTACACCAGAGTCCTTCCCACTGCTCTCCCCACAGTGTTCCAAGTGAATTAAACTCCAGAGTCCCAACCCTAAAGGAGCTGGATGAGTCCAGCTCTTCAGTGCCAGAAAACTATATTGCAGGAAGGGCAGGAGAGACGACAGCACCAGAGCAACCATCACCCAGAGTCGATAATCCAACCTCCAGGGATTAAAAAAAACCCCAATGTTCCTTTGAATGCACTTCTGCCTGTCACAGATCAGCCCCCTCACTGGGATTTCACAGAATCACAGAATGTTGGGGATTGGAAGGGACCTCGAAAGATCATCCAGTCCAACCCCCCTGCCAGAGCAGGAACCTCAATGAGATCACACAGGAAGGCGTCCAGGTGGGTTTTGAATCTCTCCAGAGAAGGAGACTCCACCCCCTCCCTGGGCAGCCTGTCCCAGGGCTCTGTCACCCTCACTGGAAAGAAGTTTCTTCTCAAGTTGAAGCAGAACCTCCTGTGTTCCAGCTCACCCCCATTGCCCCTTGTCCTACCATTGGGCATCACTGAGAAGAGCCTGGCTCCATCCTCCTGACATTCACCCTGAACATATTTATAAACATTAATGAGGTCACCCCTCAGTCTCCTCTTCTCCAAGCTTTTTGGGAACTCCACTTTCCTAAAAGACTCTTTTTGGGTCACTCCTCAAGTCCTTCCCCTTTCCCAATCAGCTCAAACACCCAGGACTTGATCTTTTTTTTTTTTTTTTTTAAAAAAAAAGTTACTTTTAACATGACTTCACAATAGTGCATCTGAGCTTCACCAAACCGCAGCTTCAGCAGCTCCACGTTGCGGATTTCCCTGGGAAGAGAAACAACAGATCAGCCACAGGTTCCTCAGACAGACAAGCCTGGCTTGGCCTCCACCCCTGGCAACACAGCCAGAGAAGAGAGCCCCTGGCACAAGGGTGCTCTTCCTAGGAAGCCTCACAAGGTACGTTATCTGAACAGGATGCCTCCCAGCAGCTAAGTGAGGAACAGTCCCTTCCTCTGCAGGCCAACAGCTTTTTGAAGACCTTCCCATCCCTTTCATTTGGACTTGGATGGCACCCAGCTGTACCCCTCAACCTCACAGTGCAACCTCAGCATTTGGAGGGTCACTTGCCTGAGATGGTGCATCCCAGCTCATGCTGGCTGCGTTTCACAGAAAGGAAAAACACTGCAACTGCTGAATCAAGAGACACAGCTGGGTTGCAACTGAGGTTTCCTGGTTGCAAGGGCCACCAGAACATGTGGGATGGAGCTAAGAGGGTATCAGTGCCTCCAATTTCCTAGTGCAGCCAAGGGCAGGACTGAGCTTGAAGCAGCCCGAGAAGAGGTGAGCACATGAATTCTAGATGCAAACCCAAAGCTGCAGAGGAAATAGCCAAAAACATTCCTTGGCTCCAGAAACAGCCGTTCACAGGACCCAGTCTGAAGCACACCTTTATCAGGTGATCTCACCAGGGAAAGCCCTGGGGCTGGGCACTTGGACCTCACCTCTCAGCACTGTAGTTGAACTGAGGCAGCAGCCGGTCAGCCAGAAGCGTGCGGTATTCGTTGATAAACAGGTCCTTGCTGCCATAGATGCTCACCAGCAGGCTGATGATGTCTGAGGACCGACGCTTGGAACTTGATTTTCCTAGTGAAATCCAGCAGATGACAGTGTGAGATTAAGAGAGACTTGCCCCAGCCCAGCTCAGCTCAAGGACTAGCAGATGATCTACTCAAGACTAAAGCCCATGGGGGAAAAGAGCAGGCTGCCAGGACTTCTGGTCTTGGCATCTAACCTGGATCTGCATCAACTGGGTCAGGAACCCAGTCCCCTGGTTCTGAGATGTCATCATCACTCTCCTGGCCGTTCTCCAGGGTCACTGGGTCAGCTTTTGAGAGCTCATTTGCAAGATCACCGGAGCCCTCAGCATCCCCTGTGAGACCAGCCACAATCTGCCGCACCGTGTCTTCCCGAGTCCTGCCAACAGGTAAGAGAAACAGAGTAAGTGAAGGGAAGGTTGCCCAAGGAAGTTGTGGCTGCTCCTCCCTGGAAGTGTTCAAGGCCAGGCTGGATGAGGCTTTGAGCAACCTGGTCTAGTGGAAGGTGTCCCTGCTGCTGGCAGGGGGGTTGGGACTGGATGAGCTTTAAGGTCCCTTCCAACCCAGACCATTCTATGATTCTATGAAGGGGAGGGAAAGGGGATGTGTAACACTGTCCCATGAGCCTCTTACCTCAGATACTTCCTGATGGGCTCACAGGCGACCTCCAGGATAACCATAGAGGGGTCAAGCTCCCGCAAGGCCTTGATGGCCGAGATATACAGAGTGATGATGTCAGATGTGTTGACTCCTACAAGAGAGGGACAGAGGGAGTCAGAGTCCCAGAGCACAGACTGATGGCTTGGATGCCTGGAGCTTGCATGCTCCAAGCCCTCTGCTCAACCTATGGAGTTGGAGGCGAAGGGCTGGCTGCCCTACTGCCCCAGCCAAAGGGAAAGATTGGATCTGTATGTCTGGGAAACCAGTTCCAACTGGAAACACAGGCTCAGGCACTACCATAAACCAGCTGTGAGTTAGGAGCTCAGACCACACACAGCAGAGAAGCCTTTACCCACCTGGACCACAGGTAAACTTCTAGCTCAGCTCCTCACAACTCTGCAGAAATGAGGCAAAAAAGGGCTGAGATGTAATCACCTCCTGCCACCCACACACACCCCAACACAGAGCGTGTGCTGTGCACAGCCTGGTTGTCTCTCACTCATCAAACATAAAATACAACCCCAAGCACAAATCCAGGCTGGGTGG